CACACACACACACTCGTGCTGTGTCTGTGCTTCTGGAGGATTCAGCCGTTTCTCTTCAAGGACGCTGAAGGACGTCAGCATCATCATCCTCACTCTTCATGCCGAAGCAGGAAGCAGAGCGTCTCCTCCTCGCGCTGAGGCGGCCGTCTGAGCGCAGCAGGAGTCGCTCCTCTATCTTCTGCTCTCTGGGAGCTGCAGCTGTTTCCTGTTCCTGGGACAGGAGGGCCGCTGCTGGGCCTTGTCTGCTTCAGCTGACCCGGCTCCTAACGAGGGGTTACGTGACTTCCTGTTTCCTCCCAATCAGCTCAAAGCAGTCGGTCCACTGTCCTTTGCCCTCAGTAAGGGTTCCTCTATAAACTCAGAGAAACGCTGCTTCCTGCTTCCTCTGAAGCTCAGTTCGCGCTGCAGCAGGGCTACATGCTCCGAGCTGCTGCGATTGGCTGAATGACCTTCATCGGTCCAGCACAGCTGCACCTGAGAATCAGCCTAACCTCTGCTAAAACTGAACCCAGATCAGTTTCTGAGCACTGAGCCTGGTCTCTGCATCCAGCTGTGAGCATCACAGTCACAACTTCACAGAGTGCATTCTGGGTAAAGTGTCAGGGTTTAACATAATAATCCATGTTGGTACAGGCGGAGTCAGAGGAAGACGACCTGCTGACGCGAGGCTGAGGACGACCCCAGAGTTTGTGTTTTATTTGCTGGGAGTTACACAAACAGGAAGCTGCGACCAGGGCGGCACGCTGAGGACGTGACGATGTAGCGAGCCGCCTCAGGTTGGTAAACGACGATAACCTGAAACATCAGAACGTCTTACAGCAGATCCCCTCACACTGACACACAACAGGTGAACTCACAGGTCCCAGGTATGCAGGTCATGGTGGACGGGCTCAGCTCCACCATGTTCACCGCCGGGCGTCCGTCTGTCGGAGGAACCGTGACCAGAGACACCTGCAGAAAGCAGAGGGCGGGTCTGAGCGCGTGCAGAGAGGGTCAGACAATAATCAGCGTTTCTCCAGCAGCGCATCAGTGATTACATCACTCTACAGGCTGACGATGTCATCTGAACGCTGCACAGACTCCACCCCCTGTGAGCGTGGAGGTGACACCAGGTGCTGCTTCGCTTTGATGTTTGTTCAGTGCTGATCAGACGAACCTGCTGCTCCGAGTCGCCGGGAAGGACGGAGGCGTCGGTGATCAGGACGGCTCTGCTCAGAAACCTGCACACACACACACACA